GTGGAAAGATCTCGCATGACAACTCACTACAGTTTCCGTTTAACGTTAATGTGTACATGATAAAAATTTTAAACACAAGTGCCCACAGTTTGTAGTATTATATTTCTGCTCTCTGCTGTAATTGAAATGTATGTCACATCCGTGAAAATATTGTTGTACTTCTAATGGTGGAGGTAAATTCCCAAAACTGTCGTAATATTCGACTTTTTTTCCGATTTTTTTATACGCTACCCAATGCGTTCCAGTACAGTTTTCTGTATCCAAGTTAATAATCGCTGATTCTTGTCGCTTAGGACGTGTAGATAACCTATCTCTGGTAAACACTCCGATGAAATGAGGTATTTTCATCATGCGAGCATATTTTATAAGTTCGTAATCGTACAACGCTCTACTGGGTAACGTGGCTATTAGTTTTTTGACTTTCTATATTTTCTCGCTTTTACACCCCCACCACTTTTATGCGGTGTTTCTATTTTATATGAGTTGCCTTTATACGGTGTGAGATATAACCCTTTGCCCAAATGGGATGGAGTGTTTCTATTAAATTCATTAGCAACTTTCACAACGTTGGCTACGCCGCCAGTCAGGGCTCCTAGAGCTGACAACCCGACGAAAATCGGTATGAGTGGTAGCACACCGCCTTTTTTCGGAATATTTATTGTTCGTGGAACTTTAGTCTTCTTAATTTTGAATGTTTTTCGCGCGACGGCTACACATTTTTTAGTCAATTTCATCAAGTTTTTTTCTCCGATATTTTTCTTGATAACATTTTTAGTGGCTTTAAGTGCTGCTTTAAAACCACAGCCGCCACCTACTTTACGTTTTGCTTTCATGGCAGTAGTCACACCCCAAGCCACAGCTTTTTCTTTTAAACTCGAATCTTTTGACTTGAACCTATCCCAGGCCCGCTGCTCTAATATATAATCGGCTTTGTTACGATCTGCGATAGAGTTGCTGTTCTCGTACGCAATATCGTGATCCCTACAAGCAGAGTCCAGAGGGTTTATACCTTTATCACCACGAGCCAATCGATTTTTTAAATTTGTACCAGGTCCACAGTATTGATAACCTAAAATATAAAATTATTAGAAAATATAATATTATCGGATTTATAATCTAATATACCAGGCACGTGAAGCTCGATCGGTAATTTGTTTATAAGCGTGTTGATCAGGCCACTGCCTTTATTCTTGCTGCTTCTTCGAGCGAGTGACATCGTGTACTGATTACATTCTCATCGTTGCTCAGTTATTTATAATGAAGTTCATCAAACAAAAAATAAAACTATCAGTTAAAAACGTGGACCCGCCTACATCGTTTATGAAACAAAGACACGGGGCGCTCCTACCTAATACGATACGTGCGCTTATCGTGGGTCCTTCTGGCTGTGGAAAAACAAATTTAATTTTCACTTTATTAACCAATATAAACGGAATACGATTTCACAACGTATACATATATTCAAAGACATTGGATCAACCTAAATATAAAATGCTAAGTGATATATTATCAGACATTGATGGTATAAAATTATTTACATTCTATGAAAACGAACAAGTTATTGAACCTGAGAAAGCTTTACCAAACTCTGTGTTTATTTTTGACGATATTATTACTGAAAACCAAAAGATTGCAAGAACTTACTTCTCCAGAGGTCGTCATAATTTAGTTGATGTATTCTATCTGGCTCAGAGTTATTCAAAAGTACCAAAACAACTTTTGCGCGATAACGCTAATTTTATTGTATTATTCAAACAAGACGAAACTAATTTAAAGCATGTATACAATGAGCATTGCTCTGGCGACATGTCATATTCAGAGTTTAAAGACTTTTGCACTTCGTGTTGGCGTCTGGGGAGATTTGAGTTTATCGTCATAAACAAAGACTGTGAACGCGACAATGGACGATATCGTCATGGATTCGACACATTCGTCGTTATATAAAGTGTTGTTATTGTGGAAATGCTTCATTCACAATCATGGCTGTCAGTGGTGATGTACTCGGAGAACTGATTAAAGCCAAAGAAAATATCAAGCGCAAGTATACAGCATTAAAACAAGGAAAAACCGACATTCATTCATTAGTATCAGAAACGTTAAGTCCGATTATCGAACCATTAGAAAAAATAAAACGTTTCGGCCCATCAACATTTCAAGCTCCACCTACACAGCAAGACATTGATATTCAAGATTCTCAATATTTTAACGACACAGACGATTCGGTAGCTTTTAACGACTGGTTTAAGTCTTACGATATAGACAAGACGTATGGACCTAAAATACAAACAAATGGAAGTGTACACTTAGGTAAAAAAGAAATTAAACTCGTTGATAATACGTTAACTATTGAAGATACATCATATCCACTAATACAAGGACTTGGTAATTTAATATTTTCAAAATCTCCAAAATTGTACACCAAAAACGATTTAGAAACATACAAGTCTATATTAATTCAAACATCGGCGCATCTAAAAGCAGATGGGAAAAAAATTAAAAAAGGCGGAAATAAATATACAGATATAATCCAAAATCTGTTTCCATCGGGCTCTGGGCTGTCAGTTAAATTACAAAAACATAATTTAGTATACTGGAACGAACCTAATGAGCTAGTCGATCGATTGCGATTACTCTTAGCTTCTAAAGCTGCTGGTAATACAGGCGTTTCGAATGAAATACTCTCGATTTTCGAAGAATTGCGTGAAGCAGGGTTAATAAAACGTATTCCAAATGTCTAAACGTGATATAGCTTATGAACTCCACAAACCAGCGAGAAAAAATTATACGAGGCGTAGAGTTAATGTTTACGACAAAAACGATCTATGGCAAGCCGACTTGGTCGAAATGATACCGTATTCGAAAAAAAATAAAGGCTATAAATATATTCTATGTGTTATAGACTGTTTTACTAAATTCGCATGGGCGACACCATTAAAATCAAAAATTGCTAAAGAAGTTTCCAGCGCAATGTCTAAAATACTGCTTAAACGCTCACCAAATCTATTACAGCTCGACAATGGTAAAGAATTTTATAACTCAACATTCGATGCGTTAATGTCTAAATACAACATACACAAATATTCTACGTACAGTACTATGAAAGCGTGTATTGTAGAACGTTTCAACCGCACATTGAAAGAAAAAATGTTTAGAGAGTTTACGGCACGTGGCTCTCACGAATGGGTTTCTATTTTACCTTCATTGATTAACGAATATAATAATTCAAAACATAGAACTATAGGAATGACGCCTGTACAAGCTGATGCTAATCCTACGTCAGTGGAAATAAAGAAACGAACAATTATTAATGGACTAAACAAATTTAACGTGGGTGATAACGTTCGTATTAGTACATATAAAGGTGTATTTGCAAAAGGTTATTTACCGAGCTGGTCTACAGAAATATTCAAAATCGTTAAAATTAATGAAACATTACCTACTACTTATCAGCTACAAGATTATACTGGAAAACCAATTGCTGGTTGCTTTTATTCAGAAGAAATATTGAAAACAAACTATCCAAATGACTATTTAGTAGAGAAAATTATCCGTAAGAAGGGGAAGCAAATTTTTGTCAAATGACTAGGGTTCGATAATACACACAATAGTTGGATAAATACAAGTGACATTAGAAAATAACTTCAGTCGAGCTACAGACATGAACGTGTTTGGTAGTTCTCAGTCTGGTGAAACAAAAAAAAATATTTCAAATCTCGAACAAATTGTTAAATCGTATTCGAATAAACTCGAAAAATTGAGCATTTACTCGAAAAAAATCATAAATCCATTCAAATTCAAGAAGAACAAGTAGAAGCGATACAATTGACATGTATACAAATAGCTGAGCATATGACAAGAGGTGAAGTATCATTACAATCAATCAGAGAAAGTACAGAAGCGTTGAAAAAAATAATTCCTGCTATACTGAGCCGTCTTAACACTATAGAAACTTATTATAAAGACAAGCCATAATGTCTTCGGCCATCTTGGACATGCAATGCGTTCTTGGATTTAACAATAAATACATGATTAAAGAAATGTCTATAGTAGACACAGAAACTTGGGCGACCCAACACTGGATTTTTAAACATTCAAAATCGATGGAGGATAACAAAAGTCGTAAAACCAACAAGTGGCTGGAACGTAATTTTCATCAACTACCTATAGAATACAGTGATATCGAGTATGAAGAACTCGGAAAAATATTGAATTCATTAAAGTTCAACAGCATTTACGTCAAAGGTGAACAGAAAAAACAAATTCTTATGGAGTATATACCACACGTCGCACTCATCAACATTGAAGACTTGGGCTGCCCTCGTTTAGATCAAATATGCGATGACGAAACTCTACCTTGTTGTATTTTTCATATGGAATTTAATCCTAAACAATGTACATTTTATAAAGTTTTTGCTATAAGAAAATGGTTTGTAAATAATTCTTAAAAATATAACAATAATATTTTAACATTGGCTGTTTTTATTTTACATAGATAACCTAACATTTTCAATATATACATGGTATTATACAATATAACAAAAATATTTATACATGATATTTTACAATATAACAAAAATATATATATAGGTACATGGTATTTTACAAACTAAACATTAATCTATCTCAACTATAATTAGAATATATACATCTTATTTACAAAAAAAATATTTATACATGATATTTTACAATATAACAAAAATATATACATGGTATTTTACAAACTAAACATTAATCTATCTCAACTATAATTATATAACATGATAATATTTTCAATATACAAATATATAATATACATTAACGTGTTTCATAAAAAAAAAAAATTTTACAATATTCATTAATAACCGATATCATCCACCATTTCTGCCAAATCTGCTTCTATCCGTTCAACTTCTTCAGCCTCTCTAAAAAAAAAAAGATAAATAAATATATATATTAAATACTAAAAACAAGTATAACTCACTGTATAAGGTAGTGTCCGTGGGCTAAATTTACAATATTCATTAATAACCGATATCATCCACCATTTCTGCCAAATCTGCTTCTATCCGTTCAACTTCTTCAGCCTCTCTAAAAAAAAAAAGATAAATAAATATATATATTAAATACTAAAAACAAGTATAACTCACTGTATAAGGTAGTGTCCGTGGGCTATGGTATGGATCTGATCTTCACATACTATTCTCTTATCATCACAACGATTAAGGGCAAGTTTAACTGACGAGATAGTCTTTAATTCATGTTTAAAAGATCTGAGTGATTTATTTATTCTAAAAGGTGTATATTGATTTGTTGTTGAAGTGAATCCTGTCAATTCAAACTGTTTAGACTGCTCAACAGCTAAATTTCGAGTTTCGTTTGTTTCTGGCGGTATACCATCCCAAAACAGACATTTCTTGTGGTCGGACATCGTTAAATGGTTTTTAACTACATGATAACGTATTCCTTTTGATTTAATTTTTTCTACGCCCGCTAAGTTATAGGCGTAAGACTTAGCTCGCAAAGCGATAAATTCTCTTATCGCTTGACCGTTTGTCTCATCGGTAAACGTTCCAGGTAATTTTTTTCTTTCAACACAATAGCATGGGTGATCGATTGGCAAGTTTGAAGTATCCATACGTTCAAACAAAAAACTATTTTGTTTTCGATCAGCATAGAAGTCATGAGTCTTAATTGAATATATAAAAGAATCTGAAATAAATATTTTTTTGTTATACATTGTAAGATTATAATATTAATCACAGGAAATTGGTACCTGTATCCATATACATGAGTTCAATACAGCTGCCATAGTGTTGTTTCATGGAACCATAGTGGAAATCGTACATTAAGGTTTTTGATACATCGATAATAGAAAAACCTATATAAATAGGTTTATCAAATTTTAATTCATCGTTATTCAAATGTACTGCTGCAAGGTTGTTGTTATATATTGTGATATTTTTAAATGTAATTTTGTTAATCAACTTGGCACATTTTTTTTCGTCTGACACTAACTTCATGTTTATTCGGTTCCTAACATTCTCCATTGTTTTTCCTGGAAAGTTTACAAACAGTTATAAAAAAAAACAGTGAGTGTTGTTGAACACTCAGCAGGAACGAAGTTCAGTGCATGTGATGCGAGACGCGGAAACATATATGGTTAGAAAAATATAAATAAATAGTGATAGAGAGAGAGAGAGACAGAGAGAGAAATGAATGCTTGTATAAATATATCGCGCGCATGGTAATAAAATTATAATAAATTTTTTCTGAGTATTATGAAAAATGGTATTTTAATCATTATAAAAGTACAAAGCAATTATGAAATTAATCAGTATTCTCAATAACAGTAAATATTGGTTTGTGGTAGCTTAAATATGTCACGTATATTTGTGATTGAATTTTTTCTATATATCTCGAAAAAACTGCATCGATAGTGGTATTGTATCTTGTTGTAGATTCCGACGGATTATTAATAAATGACAATAGACATATTAATATGTCTATGGAACAAACCTATTGATGGGGGACGAGGTGGCCGAGCGGTCTAACGCGTCGACTGCGGCGCTGGCAGTCGCGGGTTCGCCTCTCGACCACTGGGCGGCATTTTTCTCCGGGCAAGTCACGGTGTCCGGAGTACAAGTGCCGCCATCCCCCAACCCGGAGCATGGCAGAAACCTACGGGTGCCCCAATAAAAATTCTGCCAACACAAACACACACGTGTACCAACCTACCCAATCTAAAAACCTACAGTTCCCTACCAACACCCAATGGCCTATGTTGCCGCGGGTTATCCAATAAAAAAAAAAAAAAAAAAAAACCTATTGATGGTTAAGTCAAATTCTACTGAAAGAAATTTTAATAATGATACGGTTGATACAGCTTGTACTCGATTATCGTTTTTCAAAAGTAAATTTTAATTTCATTTGTTTAATAGATTTGTATGTATATAGAGAAGAAGGTAAATGGAAATCACAATAGAATTTATAAATTTAAGGGGCAAAAATTATTTTGAAAATAAAATTCTTATCACTTTCCTTATCAATAAAAACAATATTTATGAAAATCCCAATAAATCCCATCAAAAACTCAAAACCCCGAGTTTCCCCTTGGCGAGGTGGGTGTTAGTACTCTCCCGGACCAAAATCCATCAAAAAAGCAAAATCCAAAAGGGGGGAGGAGGTGCCCCCGTTCCCTAAAGCGGAAAACTGTAGTCTTCATAATAAGAATGGGTTCCCCCTTGGTCCGAGGTCTTTAACTTGAATTCCGGCCGAGTTACACTCAACTCAAAATGTGGGGGGGTGGGGGCTTTGGTTCCCTAATGTTGAAAATTCATCTGGGGCCTAAAAAATTGAGATGCCCATTGGTCCGGGGTCTCTAAGTCGAATACCGGCTAAGTTATGCTTCGTCAAAAATAATTACTCGTTTAATGGCCCCCCCCCATTCCGCCCGACGATCACCTCTACGCGCGTGACGACTGATGTTGGGTAGCCTACGCGAATGGAACCCGGTTGCCAGATGGTACGATCCTATATAGTGGGGACATACGATAATATGAGAGGAGGGAGGGGATATGTAAGCCGGCAGCCGAGCCGAGCCGAGCCGAGCAATGTTGCGTTTTTCAGTGTTACGCTTTTCGGTGTTACGCTTTTTGGTGTTGCGATTTTTTTCCAGCGACTCCCATCCACCTAACGCCCCATAAGGAACTTCGTTCCAATAAATAAAAAATATTATAAAATAACTCATACCAAATACTGCATTATTCATTAATTTGAAGAAATCTTTTTCAAAATCATTTTCTGCATTTTTCCTCATATTAGTGTTCAATTCGATATACTTGGCAAGCCAAGGTGATTGGTTAAATTTTAAAACTCTATGAACCTATATAATATACTAACAATTAAATACATTATTTTTATTTACTAATAGAAACAATCATTACCTTTTTCAAAATTAACCCAGCTTTTATGGCCTGTTTTAATGCCATGTAATGTACAACATAATTATTTTTATATTGTAAATTAGCGACAAGTTTTTTTATTTTTGATCCTGGTGGGGTTATCCTCTCCGCTAGATATGGTAAATCATTGTGGTCATCATGCAATGATTTAGGGTACTCAACATCTACTTCCAAGGCCCATCCAACTTCAGACGTTTCATTCATTCCATCCAACAAATTTAAAATATTTTCGACACTTAAGTCATCGTTAAACCAGCCAAATCCATCTTTCGGCATAGATCTACTCATCGCCCAGCCATAACTATAAAATATATTACATTATTATTCTATTAAAAATTGACAACAATATAAATACAGATTGGTTGCGTCCAAGTAAACAATCCATGATTCAGGTTTCGATGCATCATAGTCAGGAAACCTTGATATTATTGGCCTCTGCATAACGTTTCACTGCATGAGTTAATCCACCTCGTATACCTATAAATTAAAAAAAAAATACATTAAAAAAAAAAAAAAAAAAAAAAAAAAAAAAAAAAAAAAAAAAAAAAACATACCTTGCTCAAACATCAAAATTTGGTCATAGTCGGACAAAAGTTCCAAGTTAACTTCCGTATATTTCAACATGCAATCAAATGACATGCCAGGGGAAGTATAATAATAATTAGGATCTAATCCATACGTCTTCAAACACAAATCTCTAAAGTTTTCGAAGCAGTCGACCAACAACATCACATCAACTTTCAAGTACCAGTCGCTATATTCACCGAGAGTGTTACAGTTGAATTGATTCCAAACTATCTTCGCATATTCATAGTCATCATTTGAAATATGTGTTTCATTCAAGGAACTGTAAAATTTTTCTTTTGGTGGAAGTGTCGTTTCGTTTAATTTTTCCCAACTATCCGTATACTCATACGGATAGAAACCTTTCCTTGTCACCAGATCAATATCATTTTCGCTAAATATTTTCCTCGTCTCTCTAAATTTTGAATTGCCACCTTTTCCTAAATTGTTGACTAGTTTTTCCAAGCTAGTCGCCATAAACCGGAAAGAATCCACAAATCGTATTTGGAATGAGTTTGAAATATATTTAGTAAAAGATATCAACTTCTCTTCGGTATTAGGTATAACATTTATAGATTTAGTGTCAAAGCCTAGTTGTGTGATGAGAAAATGTGAATCATATCCGGAAAGGTTATGAAAAAAACACGGGACAAAATTAGGTCGTTGCATTTTTAGGTTACACATAGAACACACCGTTTGTCTGTACTTTCCGGTCAAGTGATCGTGATCTCGCACGGGTAAGTTATTACTATTAAATTTACTTTTACAAAACGGACATGTTCCATGATCAGCGACTTCTCTGTGTTTTTTATTATTTTCATTGGTCATTACAAGCGGTATATTTGTGTTTAATAATCGATCAATGTTTCTACCAACTTCGTCAATGTCCTCCATAAACTTCTTTGCAACCTCTCCCTTGTTTAAACTTGAATCACCTCTAAATAATACAGGTTCTGTTGAAATATTGAATTTTTCTAGTAGTTCTATAGGAATGTTCTCGGATGGTTTTATATAGTAACAATAACTCATAAGATCGTGATAATGTGTTATATTAGTATTTTTCATTTCATTTAAATCATTGTTTTTTTCAAGTATACATTCAAAATCAGCAAATATCATGAAAGGATGTTTTTGAGTACGCTCCCAGTTTTCAAATTTCATAAAAGTGTTTGGAGGTGGCAATATAGGCAACAGAAGTTTATTTGTTATACATTTTAACTTATGATCATTAAGTCGTTGATGAGCGTTAACGCCGGAGTAAGTTTTAAAACATCGCTTACATATTGACATGGCGTGACCGTGTCGAGATAGTTGAGCACAGACTAATTTTGATAAATTTGTAACACGACAGTAATGTTGTTTTCCCGTTCCATCTCCAAATAATAACAAGTCATGGTGGTCATCTAATTCGTCTTCACATACTTTTACAGGAAATATTAAAGTTTGTTGTGATTTTGTTTTGAATCGGTTTTTGCGAGAAATGTTTTTAATGTCAATATTATTTTTATACGTAAGCTTCCCTTTTTTTGTACTATATATATTAACTGATACTCCTGGATTTTTTTTTTCAAATTTTCCAACATCGTTTAGCGTAACGGGGAAATTTAAATTTGAAAAATCGTAGCTGTTTTCTACTTCGGTGTAATTAGATCCTATTCGAAAATTATTTACGGGGTCGACGAGTTTGGCCAAGATGCTATATTTAAAACATTTGTTGTCTGTATTTTGTACGTTGATTGTCGCTTTTTTCCTTTCTAGACATTCGGGTAGTGGTATATAAGAAGAACCTCCCAATGGCGTGTATTTATTAATATTGATTAAAATACCATCAATACTAACTAATGAAAAGCCGCTTCCTTTCAACATCATATCATTCTCCTCCTGTATAATTTTGATAAAATCTTCGTCTAAACTATTATTTATATCAGTGTCTAAAAACATCGATCTACATTTTGTTTTAAATGCCCTATTTTCTCTCACGTCTGTATTGGGAATCTCATATGTTGACTCTACTTTAATACTATATTTTATTGGACCTTGTTGTATAGAATTAAAAAGTAAATCCCTAATACTAAGCCTTGACTGTTCTAAAAATACTCTATAATCCATAATGTTTTCAATATTTTTTTTAAAAAAATTTTTACTTTAACCGTTGAATACTGAAGCAACTTCTCTAAATTCTGATGTTGTAGCGTTCATTCTCATACGTTTGCTTTTTCTAGATTTTTCCTCGTCCTTTTCTAAGTTTTCTAATAATCGAACCATATCCATTTCATCGATGTCATTTCCCCATACAGATGACTCTGATAATTCATTTGACGAACCGGCCGGGATGTCGGGGACAAATATTTGCGGTCCAATCTGAATCTGTGGAACGGGTTGATCAATCTGTGCATTGGGCTGACGATGTGCCGGAACGTTAACAAAACCTTGGGGAAAAATATAAGATATAAATTAAGGTAAAATAAATAATATTATATAAACCGTAAATACATACCATGAACATTTTTCAAATGTTTGGTTAGGCTGGTTTTATAGGTGAATGTCGATGGGCAAACAGAGCACGGAAAACGAATACCGGTATGAGTTTTTCCATGTCTGACTAAAGCATCTTTACGTGTAAATTCAGATGAGCACTGTGTACATTTAAACATAATGATAATGTTTGAAATGAAAAAATAATAAAATGTTTAAACACTTCTAAAAATTTTAAAGTCGGCGCGAGCGAACGATAAACGTGTCGGGTGAGACTAAACCGATTCAGCTGCATTCGGTGATATATAAGCGCAGGTACGCGATGAAGAACTAATGTTTCCATGTGTGTGAATATTTAATTGAATACGGATAATATACCTATTATTGTCAATACGGGTAAAGTGTCTTTCAATATAAATGCCCATTGTGGCTATTAAGAGTCGGCGACATCCTGGCGGCTGGCGATGACCAAGACAATAATTAGGCTATTAGGGTTAATGTATCTAATGGCAGGAAATATCTTCTATTCGATATTTGTATACTATAGGTATAATTATTGATTATTTTATAATGTTCGGCGAGCGTGCGAACCGATGGCTCCTAATGTCAATACGCGCTGCTGTAAGCTATTAGCACCTATAAATGTTTCTTTTGCAGTTTTATGTACCCGTTAAATATGGCAAGTTCTTAATATAAAGTATATGTGACGGGGTGGTGCAGTGATACGGTGATCGCTCGCCGAACCGACGGACTCGGGTTCGAATCCAGTCCGGTAAAAAATTTTTAGCTTATTTTCCACGGGCGGCGGTGTGATAACGGAAATAATATGATAACAGTGATAAAATATGATAACACTGATAACATGTGATAACAATAATATAAGTCACGCACGTACGCGAGCAGCGGGCGGTGGGGTGAGGCATGAGGTTCAGCGGTTGTGGGTTGTGGTTGTGGTTGTGGTTGTGGTTGTGGGTTGTGGTTGTGGTTGTGGTTGTGGGTTGTGGTTGTGGGTTGTGGTTGAGGGTTGTGGTGTCAGGATCGGCATATATATTCTACTATTATCGTTTTTCAAAAGTAAATTTTAATTTCATTTGTTTAATAGATTTGTATGTATATAGAGAAGAAGGTAAATGGAAATCACAATGGAATTTATAAATTTAAGGGGCAAAAATTATTTTGAAAATAAAATTCTTATCACTTTCCTTATCAATAAAAACAATATTTATGAAAATCCCAATAAATCCCATCAAAAACTCAAAACCCCGAGTTTCCCCTTGGCGAGGTGGGTGTTGGTACTCTCCCGGACCAAAATCCATCAAAAAAGCAAAATCCAAAAGGGGGGAGGAGGTGCCCCCGTTCCCTAAAGCGGAAAACTGTAGTCTTCGTAATAAGAATGGGTTCCCCCTTGGTCCGAGGTCTTTAACTTGAATTCCGGCCGAGTTACACTCAACTCAAAATGTGGGGGGGTGGGGGCTTTGGTTCCCTAATGTTGAAAATTCATCTGGGGCCTAAAAAATTGAGATGCCCATTGGTCCGGGGTCTCTCAGTCGAATACCGGCTAAGTTATGCTTCGTCAAAAATAATTACTCGTTTAATGGGCCCCCCCCCCCATTCCGCCCGACGGTCACCTCTACGCGCGTGACGACTGATGTTGGGTAGCCTACGCGAATGGAACCCGGTTGCCAGATGGTACGATCCTATATAGTGGGGACATACGATAATATGAGAGGAGGGAGGGGATATGTAAGCCGGCAGCCGAGCCGAGCCGAGCCGAGCAATGTTGCGTTTTTCAGTGTTACGCTTTTCGGTGTTACGCTTTTTGGTGTTGCGATTTTTTTCCAGCGACTCCCATCCACCTAACGCCCCATAAGGAACTTCGTTCCAATAAATGCTGATTTTTTTTAAAACAACTTATATGTGTTATTATTTGATGTAATATCTCGTGAGCGTGTGGTCTAGTGGATTACTGCGTGTAGTGTTAATTTAAATGTTTTCAGGTATCAGGTAAGTATAATATGTAATTCTCCCCTCCACTGCATGCAGTAGTCGACTATACTGTACGCTCACATTTTTTTTTTTTTTTTTTTTTTTTTTTTTTATCTATCAGGTTTAGTATATAATACGCTCACAAAGTAAAAATGCTTTCAGTTCAAAGGATATCTCCCATCGGTTATATTATATCAATTTTAAAAAAATAATTACGTTTATAGTTTGAAAGGTTTTTTAATTATTTAAAAAAAGAACATTAATTTGTTATGGGTCTACCGGTAATTGTATCAAAATCGGTATTTGACATACGTCCATTTGGTAAGAAGAGTGTTACAGTCGGCCTATTAATCAGCAAACAAATTTCGATTATTGTGTTATTAGAGTGCAAGTTAACGAAAAAAATTATTACATTAAATTTAGAGCAATGGTGTACGCTTATGTCTGAATCTAATTACACTTCAATTACTAACAACTTACATACCAGGTGTAGACGTGTAAGAATCACCGAGAATTTCACATATTTAATTAATGTGAAGCAGAGTTCAATAACCTTACATATAAATGATGATTATATTACACTCTCACATATAGATTTCTGTAGACTTAAACAACTTCAGCATTGTGTGGACCTTTATATCGCAGAAAAACAGAAACGTCTACAGAGTTTTCAAGCAACATTTGATGCAGCTTATGAACTGATTAAAAACGATGTCCGAGGTTTGCCCATCAGTTGCCAGAGGAACGAATTCACAAACCAGTATATACAAAACTATGATTTTAATTATTATTCTCATCTACAAAACGACGACACTTCATTTTTGTACGAAATATTACAATTTCATTTTAACGCAATGTCTGACATGATTTTACAGGACTTAATAGTGTAATATAATACAAATTCATTTATATTTATGTAATGTTTTATTTATTAAATAAAAAATATTTTTTTAGAATATTACACTCATAATGCTAAATTACTTTTTATCGTACGACGTTCTGGATCCTTCAAAATCACGTCGAAGATGACCTGCATGGTCTCATTCAAACTTGTATTTAAAGTCTGGTCTTTTGATTTATCTGAAGTTGTTATCTTAACAGATGCCTCAGAGTGACGCCACCTGTAACATAAATTAATTATTCAGTGAACAGTGAATAGAAACAGTTGATTTATTTTTTATTATAAGCAATAGTTTTTTTTATTAAAAAGTAAACCAAAGTCTAGTATTTACCTCTCCTTTGATGGAACTTTGTTTATGTTCTTACACTTATAGTGTGTTATTGTCCAGTAGTCGGCTGCCTTCTCTTCTGGATTAAACTGACTTTTGATGGTAGCCAAACCATCTCCCTGCCGGAAGGTTACCGAATTTATGATATCTTCATCGAAATCTTCAGTCCGCAATTTCTCCTCAAAGATTTCCCTGTAAGATGAACTCTAAAAAAATAAATAAATAAATTCATGCTATAATTCATCACCTTAGAATATTAGATAAAAGTATTAAGATTATAAATAATTATTTATCTTACTGTTTTTGTCTGTTTAATCTTTTTGTTATTTCTCTTGTCTATCAATTTTTCAGCCCCTCTTTTGAGAGCTGTTTTAGTTTGCTTTGAAGTGGAAGGTTTCATTTTCATGTCTACAGATCCGTTAAATTCGTACTATAAAAAAAAACTTATAGTATTAAATTTGCTATATTAACAGATTGTTTTTTTTTCATAAATGTATGAGTGGTTTACCACAGAATTGCGCGACTGAGAATTGAATCTATCGAACGGTATGTCAGTCGGTGCAATGCCAGAATACTCTAACTATTGCCCCATTAACTGAGACGAATGTATGATCAGTGCAATGCCGGAATACTCTGACTATTACACTATTGTCATATAAATACCGTCCGATAGATTGGAATTATAACCATAGCGTTGAGTAGTTTTACGACTGGCCTATGCACGACTGAGAATTGAATCTATCGAACGGTATGTCAGTCGGTGCAATGCCAGAATACTCTAACTATTGCCCCATTAACTGAGACGAATGTATGATCAGTGCAATGCCGGAATACTCTGACTATTACACTATTGTCATATAAATACCGTCCGATAGATTGGACTTATAACCATAGCGTTGAGTAGTTTTACGACTGGCCTACAATTTGCTTTAGTTATTAAAGTAATTCATTTACTAACCTCTGATCCAGAATCGACAATCGAAGTTCTGTAAGACATCGTTGAATATTATTGAATGTTGAATTGATGAAGGTGGCGAAGAAGTTCTAGTTGCTGGATGTTGACTGCGAAGTTCCAGTTGTTGGATGTTGACTGTAATATTGCTGTCGATACGCTAGCCTTATATACTGTAATGTTTCCACTACCATAGTAACTTTGAAATGTGAAATATTCAAAGCAATGCTATCGGATATATTAAACCGGCCAACGCCCTTAATTCGACCTCTTATTAATATTAGTTTTATTCCGTCAACGGTCATAATATGACCTCTTATTAATACTAGTTTTTTATTCAGACAACGCCCAAAATTTGACCTAGCTATTTTAAATGAATATTTCGGACGATGGTCAGCACCAATACATACATTATATACTATAATACTATAATTACTATTACTACAAAATAACTTAGTTGTTTTTTAAATTAATATTACATTAACAGGTTACACGATTTCTTTGAATATAATGTGAGTTTTAAACGACAACTAGAAAAGTAGGAGATGATTCTCGACTATATAACCCAGAATTTGCCACTCAAACGATATCAGTTCAGCTTGTGCTCTCCACCAGCAACAACAAGGAACAGACATTCGCCATCGAACATTGAAAATACTTCAATCCTATAAAGTATAACAGTCTACCATCGACATCATCAACAGGAATTTACCATCGAACATTGAAAATACTTCAACCCTGCATAGTTTACCAGTCCAGTACCGGCATCATTAACATTGGAAAATACTTTAACCGAATACTTTATCTACGTAAGCATCTACCTATTTCATTATTTATATATATTTTTTTAAAAAAACCATCTAAAACTCTTTACATCTTTACTAGTTTTTAAAAACGAAAAAAATAATACACGATAGTAAAAAACATAACATAGCATAAACGTTTAGGTAAGTGATTATAACGGATCGATATTCAATAGTTTTATCAGAAATATCAATATTAAATGTACAAA